TAACTCTAAGCAGACCACGGTAACTGTAGAAATCAGACCTCACTAAGGAAAACGGAACGGATGCAGTCGGGCTGTGCCTATTCGGGGAGGTAGGTAAACATCTTAGGAAATATTGACTGCGGGATGCAGTTGGTATAAACTCCATTTCGTTATCTGGTGTTTGCCAGTCTCTCGCCTTACCTTGAAACAACGTATGTTGCCACGCCTTTTCGGGCGCAGGAGATTAGAGCAGAGAACAAGTGCGAGAAGGGGAAGATGCCTGAATCGAGTTCTGCGTAAGGTGTAGATGCTTTTACAATGTGATGCTAAGGTCTTTTTACTCAACGTGAAGACCCTTAGCGAACAATATTTTTGAGCCTTTAAGCATGCGCAATTCAAACTGCGCATGCGCGGAGGCTCAAAACATGTAAACAATAACCACAGCTTCACGTTGTGGAAAAAGTATTTACTAATAAGCGATCTGAGCTGGCTGCAGATAAACGCCTTTATTAGCAGATTTATTGGCACCTAATTCGCTATTTCCACCGGTGCGCAAGTGCGCTGGAGCGCGGTATGTGGAGGCCTCGTCCAAGGAAATCTTGGTCCAAAGAGTTAATGTTTAATATCAATATTAATGTAAATTTTTACGTTAAAATTAACCTAAATGTTAATGTCATTGTCAATGTTAGCTAGACACATACGAGAAAAAATTGTTACATTGTCTTTTATTGTTGGTTTCCATTCCCTCACTTTTTGTTAGTAACTTCTTGGAGATGACAGCTTATTTCGCTTTTCAGGACTTTGTTATACTACACTTCAAGTTTGTTGCCTGCTGCTGTCTCCGTGGGTAGTTGGTCTGCTCGTTTATTCCTTTGTTCTGTGTGTGGTTTCATACATTTGAAATATGTTTTCTAGTTAATGTATTCAAACATAGGATAGTTTCAATTAAATTCTCGGTGTCCAGATTTTTTGAGTATGTGTGATTTTTGTATGTATTCGCGCTGCCCTATTCTTCTTCTCTAGTCTCTGTAATTATTGTATGTAAATCTTATCTAAGCCAGTCCCCCATGTTGAAGAAACAACCTTGCTGTACTGTGAAGAGGCGGGGGTAAGGGCAAGGCTCGAATTCGGCCGAAAGCGCGCTAGGAAAAAATACCGCCCAATTTTCGGCAATTTTCCAGAGAGCGGGTCCGGGCGCGTCCGCTCGCAGTTCCACGTGCCCTTGAAGGCGCGTGCCCCCCCAGCGGCGTTCGATCTGCGTTCGCCCTGCTGCGCGCCCCCCTCCCACTTCTTGCGAGGCTGCCCTCCGCGCGGGCGCGGGGTTCGTGACGGAGGCGAAATGTGCGCCGAGCCGTAACTGATTGTTTGCCACGGGAAAGAAGAGAAAATAACAGCGTTTCTCGCACGAAGTGTTAATTGACTGTTACGTCAAAAGCTCCTCCCAACCGCCTGCCTTGTTTTTGGAAGAGTTAATGGAAGTTCGTACTTGTGTTGATAGGTTTCATGCTGTGAAATTGAAGATTGCATTCTTTTTTTTTTATTAAATTAACTTTCTTGTCTCCAAGTGTTGATTTGAAAATTAAGATATGAGCTTTTAACGTTTATGATATAACTTTATTACACGACTATATTGTAAGTTATATGATCGTATTCATCTCATGAGTTTATTACAGTGTAGCGCTAAATTGAAGCTTTCTATCAGTTCATGTAGTGATCATATCCGGGCTTTTAGAGTTGACGAGTTGGGATGTCGGTGAACGGTAAAAAAATCCAGCTCACTTAGCCATTGTATATTTGCTTTCTCTTAGCAAAAAGTGAACTACTAAGATTAATAACACGATTACCAACAAATCTCCTAAAGCTTAAACAAGACTAAATGCAACAGAATGTAGGTATTATGAATTAAGTGTGTTTTCATCATTCTGCGCAGTCATTTTTAAAACTGCCAATTCCAACACGATCATAAATTGGTCTGTGACCAAACACAAAAGATCGCTCATCGGCGACTTTGTAATTGTCTAGCAATGCGGAAGATGCATTATTGTATCCACTTAGGGTTAAGAAACGCCTTGCAATAAAGTGATGCAGCCTTTTCGTCAGGCAGGCTCGTGCAAGATTGTGCTTTGATGGAAAGCCTTTCTCTCACACAATGCATCCTTCTTTCTTCTACAGTCTCTATTGCGTAGCTATCACGAGTTCCGCTGAATAAGCTGTGAAGAGATTATTAAATGCACGTCGGTAAAGAGGGAATCTTTCGAAAGAGTTTATGTAATATCTGGAGAAGATTATGAAAAAATAATAGGTAAAAATATCCTCCTAGGTATAAATTTATATTTTCGTATTTTACTAAAATTGTGTTTATTATCAACTAATTACGTATTCACACACTTGATATTCGATACGAGCGTGATACGATTGTAAGCTAAAGGAAATACACTACACGAAGTAAATTTTTCAAGACTACTTGGAATGAATTCATCTTCACTAAATAGCAGGAACCATATCGAGCAATGTTTTCTTCTAATGCTTTGTGCAGGATGTGCGAGTAAAAGCTTAAAATGCTCATATTTATGCGTGATAAATAGCAGTGATACTACACTTTTTAATTGCAATATCACACAGATCTTCACTCCTTTCCTCATTTTCGTGTCACAACTATCAGACCTTAACAATTTCGATTATACATTACTTTTTCAGGATTGTAATGAAATGTATTTTCTAAATATTACCTATGTCTATATTTCTGTCTGGTCGCCCGTAATTGCCTTTCTGTACGTCTCTCTCTCTCTTTGTCTGACTACTTGCCTGTCTGTCTGTTTGCCTGTCCGTCTGTTTGCCTGTCCGTCTATTTGCCTGTCCGTCTGTTTGCCTGTCCGTCTGTTTGCCTGTCCGTCTGTTTGTCACAGGTTGAGGTGGCTAAGAGCATCAATTGATATCACTAAAGTGTCTTGTATTGAAACGGGTGGTCTAATAGCTCCAGTCCAAACGGTATCAGAATTTTGAAAACCGGCCACAAAGCTAGGTCAGCCGCTGTCTGAAAGAGAATTCTAGCGGCCGGATACTCTGATGGGTACTTTTCCAGTTTTGGCCGTTCAAGTTCAAGCGAATGTCGTACCCTAAAATATCAGTACCGAAAAACACAGTCTACGGACCGCGCGAGATCTTTCCTCTTCTTCCTTGTCATATCCTCACTCCTTACGTAAACACACTTGCATGTACAAAACTACCGCACAAGCCAGAATATCAGCCGGGAACATACCTTATACCATTTGATTTTGTGCCTCGATAGTGGGAGATACCTGGTTGGGTGAAAACCCCATAAGCCAACGGCTAGATCAACGACGGTCTTACCAACGGTCTGCTTCTCTGTCCGTCTGTTTATTTTTCAGTCCGTTGGTTTGTTAGCCTGTCCGTCTATTTATTTCATTGCATATCCGTCTATTTTCTGTTCGTGTGTGTTTTTTTTGACCGTCTGTGTATTTTCTGTCCGTCAGTCCATCTGACTGCCCATCATCCTTCTGACTGTCCCTGAGTTCGTCCCTCAGTCCGTCTGTGTGTCCCTCAGCTCCGTCTGTGTGCCCTCAAGTCCGTCTGGTGTTCCCTCAGTCCGTCTGTGTGTCCCTCAGTCCGATCTGTGGTGTCCCTCAGTCCGTCTGTGTGTCCCTCAGTCCGTCTGTGAGTCCCTCAGTCCGTCTGTGTGTCCCTCAGTCCGTCTGTCTGTCCCTCAGTCCGTCTGTGTGTCCGTCAGTCCCTCAGTCTGTCCCTCAGTCCGTTTGTGTGTCCCTCAGTCTGTCTGTCCCTCAATCCGTCTGCCTGTGCCTCAGTCCGTCTGTCTGTCCCTATCCGTCTGTCTGTCTGTCTGTCCGTCCGTCTGTCTATTTGTCTATGTTTGTCCGCCTGTCTGTCCGTCCGTCTGTCTGTCTATGTTTGTCCGCCTGTCTATGTTTGTCCGCCTTTCTATCTGCCTGTCCTTTTGTCTGTCTGTCTGTCGTCTGTGTATCTGCCTGTCTTTCTATCTGTCTGTCTTGTTCGAGTCTGTTCTCTGTCCGCCCGCCCGCCCGCCCGCCCTCGTCGCATCTGTCGTGTCGGTCAGTCTACCTGTCTACCTGTCTGCTCATCTGTCCGTTGATTCGTCAGTCTGAGAACATCGCTGGCATTAAATAGTTCAGCAGATTTTCTGCTAGATTTATATTACCCAATCGATCTGACTGATGTCGCAACCCCTTGACTTTAAAACCGATATTTTAATGTTGGGAGAGAGTTTACTGGAAGCCCCTGAGACATTTTCAAAATTCTCAAGCAATTGGCTCCATCGTTGATTAAATATTGTGATTGGATAGTATGAAGGACGTTAAGAGAAAGGAGCACGTATTATTTTCGTTAAAGCTCTGATTTTTCAAAAATTGCAAACATTTTATAATTATGGACGTCTTCATACCACTAAAATTATGAAGATAAATATATTTTCCTTAATATAATCAGTTTCTTAAACATTAATTTTGAAATAAGGTTATGTACAATTATTTCGAAACTTTGAGTACTTTTTGCATAATTTTACGTGACAGTCCGAGCGAAAACGTACGTGTTGTTTCAGCAGACAACATATTTCAATTATACTCATATAAAGGGAAAAATGATCAGAAAAACGGCGGTACCCGAGAAGACGGCGGGGTAGAACCGTAAAGATCTTGATTGACGAAGTATGGAGAGAACATAAAAAGTTGGTAGTTGGAATCATTTTTGCAAGTTCATGTAGTTCAATATTGCGTACCCGTTACAAATAACAAGAAAAAATGTATGTTGTTGCAGCACTTCGAGTTAAGATTGTTCTTGGTAACATCAAACCTCTATTTCTATTCTCTCTCTCTATTCTCTCTCTCTCTCTCTCTCTCTCTCTCTCTCTCGCACAACATACGCACACACTTATGTGTGAACTATTTGGTTGGACGGAGTAGAATTCACTATTGCGAAAGACTGCCTTTTCTCATTGTCGACAAGTGACATTCTTATTTGATGATCAGAATGATTTGTTTGAACACGAAATTCTCGAGGCGGTGCCTTCGGAGCACGTCGTTGGAGGAGCGGTTTTCGTTCCCACCCGGGAGGGTGCGGCAGGGGGCGAGTGGTCGCCGCCAGACACCTGCGGCGTTGCGGCGGGGGAGGCGGTAAGTGGGTGCGGGCGAACAGTTTCGCCGTTACGTAAACGCCTCCTCTGGGAGCGCCCACTGCCTCTCTCGCGACGCTCTGCGCAGATGCAAACCAGCCGTGAAGGTGAGGCCTACGGAGCAGATCGGCAGGGAAATCGAGTGTATGAGAGTGTGCGTGTCAGAGTGAGAGTGTGTATGTGTGTGAGAGAGAGAGGGAAAGAGAGGAGGAGGAGGAGAGAGAGAGAGAGAGAGAAAGAGAGCTTGGGACGGAGAGAGATGGAGAAAGAAAAAAGTGAAACTAGGAGAATGCGCAGGAAAGCAAGGGAAATAAGAAGAAAAAGAGAGAAAGAAGGGGAGAGGAGGAAGAAGCAGAAACAAAGAGTGGGAGAGAAAGACAGAGTAGGGGAGTGAGTGAAAGAGCATGAAAGAGAGGGAGGGGGAGAGAGTAGTAGGAAGTAGGAGGAGTAGGAGAAAGAGAGAGTAGGGATTTATTTACATCACATCAAACTCACAGAACTATTAGCTACCTAACTAAACGATACGTGGATATGTATGAGCTTCTGGTCATATTACAAATTTTAGTTTATATTACTCCGGTTGTTTTTATATATTATTATGATAATTCATTTTTAAGTGTTAATTGCCCAATAAATGATATGTAATGTACGTCAATATGTACGGCAGGTCAAGGCATCATCTGTGACTCTCACTGGCTAGTTAGAGTAGATATATGTGAGATATATTTTTGAAAGAAAACGTGTACCGTATGCACGAAGCTTTCTCAGCTTTGGTAAAAAGACTTCAGATGTATATGAAAATGATCCTTAATGTAAATTGTGTTTACTCGAAAATATTTACGCTAAGAGAATATGATAATTTACAAGGCGTGCGTGGAAATCAGAAGAATTCGATATTCTGAAAATGAAGTCGCTTCGTATACGACAGGCATTACGGCATTCTTCTTCATCTTACTTTTATACGCGGTGTATTAACATTTTAACTTTATAATGTATTCGAAATTGTGGTACATTGAGGCTCACAAGCTCACAAGCTCCGCTGTAGTCTTTTCATTCTTCTTTAGTTGAGATAGTAGTACGTTTACGAGAAACACAACAGAACCAGCAGAAAAGGAGAAAACCACCAGACAATGTGGTGGCTGCAAATATTGTACTTTCGTTCGTTTTGTCAGACCATAACATTTTCATTTTCACCCTGTTATTAATATACATTAACTCGTCACGAAGGAATAAAATGGTTCGCTTTCGCGCACTGTCAACAAGAAGTGAAAGTAAAATGCAGACTACGGAATGGCAACGAAGAGAATCTTCACTCAGTTCGCATTTCTACTCATTTCTCATTTTGATATAGTGACAGTGCTAAGTTTGTTTTTTCCTGAGAGTCGTTGACTTACGTCAAACTATATTAATAAATAAGTGTCTTTAGAATTGTGCTGTGAAATGACTGAAAGACATCACACATGATATGTGGTTTGTATCTTGAAAATTCATGGTCAGTGCTTCCGCAATACACTATATGTTTTGGCGAATTGTACAATGCTTAGCTAAATAAGAAGTATCTTGAACTAACTCTGTCTCTTCATTCTCAATATTTAAAGGATACATCTATTTAATATGTCGTTCATGGTTTTGCGGATACTGAAACAAAACGGGGAAAATTCTATACTTTCAAGCCCTTCCCACAATTACGTACACTAACTTACAAGCTCTGCACACTAAGTACATTTTTGGCTTTGCATCTTCTTTGATTATTCGTATACGAATAGATACTCAAAAAAGGTTGCTTTTCAATATCTCTTAGCTCAGTACTGTCGCAAATAATGAAAACAAGTTGCTGGAAAAGGATTTTACACAAAACTCTTCAGCAACTATGCATGAAAACTTCGAAACAAAATGTCTCGTAAAGCTACAAATTCCAGGATTTGATCCTAATAAATAAGAATATTCTCATAACTTGCAATATATGCAAAGTAAAAATAACAATATTACACATTATTAAAGAATATCTTATATATAACCAATCCCGCCAATCAAGCTTACAAGCCTTTAATATTGTCGAATTGCTTAATAAAAGCACCCTAGAAGAAAAAAATTAAAATTCCGTAAACTAATTAATCTCTCAAAACAACGCATGTGCTGTATATATTATCATGACTTGTACTGACATATTTTCAACCACTGATGACATGACACGTAAGCACACACAAACTTTAATGACTACATATTGTACGTGTAAATATTATGTAAAGTGTTAACGTGTAAATATTATGTATCCACGCAGTAATGAAAACCTTGTATTATAATATTATAGAATAGTTGCTAATAACCTCGCTGTGGATTCGACCATAAATAAATTGAAAACAATCTTTGCATGATTTATGTCAGTATTTCACAACTGTGGCAGAATATATCAGGCATACTCTAACGACTCCACGCACATAGTGAACAATATGATATTTTAATTTTACTCATTCACTCATTCACGTACTTACCTCAAAGACTGAAATGTCGTAAGGTTCGTAATGGAGCTCGCAATCGAGCTGACAACTTGTAGATCCACAACAGCTTATTGCTAATTTTCATATTGGCGAAGTATTTGTTTCCATTTAGTCTACTATTAACTGCAATTTGAGACACCATAATGCCTTTTAATATATCTTTAAGCGCAAATCATATGTATTCTCTTCCATTTTGATGCTCATGTCATCCCAATACCGATAGTGGCAAATCCTGGCATTCATTACATTTCAATATATCTTGAAGGGCAAATTTTTATTCTCTTCCATTTTAATGCTAATGTCATACAAATACCGACAGTGGCAAATGATGGTATTCCTTTCAGTAATGTGAATGTTAAGTAAATGGGCCTAGTTAAGTCTTTTACGTAACTAGTACAGCATTTTCTGTTCTGATACTTTCTGTACATTAATTTAGTCTTGATGGTTACGAGTGAAATATTGACGATTCCGACATTTCGAAATGAGTATGGCAAAACACTTTCGCGCGAGTTGTGTACATTATTTTAGTATGAATTCGAAGAAACATACAAGTATGTACTTTTAGAACAATTCGAGGCGGGAGGGAAATTCATTCATGTCGCCTAATGACATTTCATTCTTACGCCAATAACTTATTTTCACTACTAGTTACGTAAATAACTACGCAAATATGAGAGATCCGACGCCGTCAGTAACAATGACAAAACACCTCATGGAATTCGAGAATAAAATAAATAGTAAAAGATCATTCGAAAATACAATTCGCAGAAATAGAAGGTATAATGAGGTACGAGTTATATTTTCTCAAATATTACTGTGAAATTTGATTTCTATTATCCTGGATAAGAGTGAGCAAGTATCTGCAGTGGTTACGTCACTATTCCATCACCCGCTGTTCTTCCGTCGGTGGGAGGGGAACCTCTTATCTAATTCTCTTACTCGAGCTTCCCATTTTCGACGGACCTCCTGAGTCGACAATCAGACAAGATCATCTCGACCTGAATCACGATGTCGATCTGAGAAGCGGCTTGCGGTTTCAGAAGACAGCTTTTGCTGGTCAAAGTGGTACAAAACATCATTCTCCTTGAGTACAGCTATCGTGGAGCAAACATAAATTTTGGGTTTCTAATTGTTTTCATAAACCCTGTGTTAAAATGCTTGTTTGCGTTATTTTGTCTGATTGGATCTAACATACTGTTGCATTGCCTAGACACTTAGTAATTTCTTTGTTACAGTGCGCATTGCTTTGTTACAGTGCGCATTGCTTTGTAACTACATTCTCTACAACTTTTCAATGGGGTTACTGCATGTTAATATTTTCTTAAGAAAATAATGTAACCTGTGATATTTGCAGGATCGATGGTTAAAATTAATGTTTCTGGTAATTTATATTTGCGTTTTTTGTTCATGCGCAATATTATTCATCATATTTGCTTTATCATATTTATGAATATGTACCATATTTACTGATTATGTTTGTATGAAATCGATTGTAAATCCGCTTTGGGAAAAATGTTCACGCACGGTAAGTTAAAAATTAGTAACTGCTGTGTCTAGGATGCATCTCTTATACTATATCTATTTTTGAACAAAGTTTTATTAAAAACATGTCTACGCTTTCTACTAGATTTTGTACTATTATTTAAGTATTTATCAGTCCGAAGAATAGTGAAAATAAACTCGCTGCATGATTCCAATATCCAATGTTGACTGAGGCTGTTCTAAACAGTGTTTTAATTATGTACTTTTTACTTTGCAAATTTTCTGTTTCAAAGAAAAAGGGATAGGTTTTTAGGGTAGAAATAAAAAACACAATGTTGAGTACAAATAAAAAAATCGCCAAGCGATTCGTTACAATTTTATTACGAAAAAAACGAAATATACGCACGCATAGAAACACAAAGGTAGTACACAACACTACGAGTCATACATATATAAAGTACAGAGGATATAGAAAATAAATGTTATTTACAACAAAGATAAAGGGAACAGAGAGGGAATGTATTATTTGGCATAACAGTAACACCAACAGTACAAAAGTCTGTTGTCCTTTCACACGCTATTGGTTGCACACACACTCACAGAAGTCGTCGCTAGCTTGATGGCTTCAGTGTTCAACCTGAAACAGAAAAGAAACAAAAACGTTATTTTTACAATTGAATCAAATATTTTACTCTATCATTGCTTGATCCATTTGAAGAATTTGAGTAGTGCCTCCTTACACTGAAACTCTTATTTGTTTACAAATGTAAATGTATATTCATATGTTATAAAGTGTTTGTAATTTCTTTTTCGATCTTTTTGTTGCAGGTAGGAGAAAACTGAAAAACCAATCATAACAAATATATAAGTAATGTAGTGGCTTCTTTGAATATGTGAGTATTATTATAAAATACTTTTGAAAAGTGGGTGTAAAATATATGGCATAAATAGTGAAACGACGCAAAAATGTTACCTCATTCTTCTATTCAAATGACCGGTGATACTACGTTTCAAGATTTTATAATTATTTTCAAGGAAACTTATTGCTCCGAAAAGGCCGATTCCTAGCATTGTCGCAATGCAATTTATCACTTTAGAGGAAAGTGTTAATGAGAAATAGCAAATGAAAATATGAAAGTTACGTATTAAAGTCTGATTATTTAATGGTACTTGAAGACGTTTTTAATTTGTTCATAGCACACATTCCATGGAGTCGTCTGATTGGACGTCAAACGATTTTGCAAATGCAGTATTTCATTATTTATTATCTTTCCTTGATTTTTTATCTGTTTGACGAACGGAAATGCCAATTGTCATAATATATTAATTAATGAATACAATGTTTATTTATAAAAATATAATTTATTCTACATAATAATATAAATAAAAGGATTGGTTGTATCGATAGTTAAAAGGTAAGAGAAGCTGGGCGTAAACCACAAGGCCCGGGTTCGAATCCCGGTGGGGCTACCAATTCTTTGAACTTATTAATTACAATGTTTATCATAATTAACATGTTTCTTAATAGGCTGCAGAGACGTTCATATTCAATGTAGTACTAAAACTGTTCATCTCTTTGTGGCTGCCTCTCATCCACATACCGCTCTACGAAAATTAAATTATTACAATTATCTTAACGTCTCCCACCTTGCTGGTACACATAACCACTTCTGATTGCGTTACTCGCCTACGCTTCAGATGCACTTATCTACCCGGAATCACTTTGTCTGATGGCATTGCCTAATAGCATCCTGTGGTTCTAGATTACAATATTGCACGCGACCGCCATTCCCGCTTTATTCAGTAACGCCCCATTGGCAGATTCGTTGCCCCAGGTAACGAGCTCGCTTTTCATCTACCTGCTCCGCAATTTTCGTCATTTCCTCTATTCCGACGCCGCGCCGCCTTTCTCTCCATTCTGCCTACCCCAATCCCAGAATCCCGTAACTAGTCCACCACTGGTTGTTCTGGTTGTCCTGGGTTCCGGTCGCCCGCCGCCGCTCTCGTTTCCGGGGTAGGCCTTTTCGTCATCGCTGTAAAGCAGCGCTCTCAATAGCTCGCGCGGCCCCTCTCCGCCGGCGCCCGGCCGCGCACGCGCCGCGCACAATGGCCGGGGCGGGAGAAAGGGGCGGGGAAATTGTCCTCGGCGGCAGCAGGCGCGGGAAGAATGGAGCCGCCGCGAATGAAGTCAGTTGCTAGTTTGACGACGGTAATTACGGATGCAGAATGCACTGTGAATGAGCATTGTAGTTTGGAATCCTGCTGTCGGTCTAGGAGAAATCATGCTCTTTGAGTGAGAAATTGAAGTATGTTCATTTGTTATATATTTCTTGAGTTTATGTTATTATAATTATTTAGCCTGAATGAAGACAGTTGCTAGTTTGACGACGGTAATTACGGATGCAGAATGCACAGTGAATGAGCATTGAGGCGGTCCTCTCCGTGTGACGTAACGCCCACGCTCCCATTACTTTCGCCGCGAGCGTTAAGAGGTACTCGCAAGCTCTGCCGAGATCGGTCGGACTATCGGACCGTCGGGCAATCGGGAGGACAGTAGGACGATCGGGTGGACAGTCGAGCAATCGGGAGGACAGTCGGGCGATCGGGTGGACAGTCGGGCGATCGGGCGGACATTCGGGCGGACAGTCGGTTAATGGTCGGACGGGCAGATGGGTGGTCGGATAGGGGGTCGCTCGGTTGGCTGGTCGCGGGCGGGCTGCGGGTGCCGTGCCCCTCGCGTCGTGGTGACCGGCCGCGTTTCCGCGATTTGGCGCGTGCGCGCGCCCGCGGCGCGAGGGGAGGCGTTCGCCCGGCGTTGCGTAACACGCCCCGCCCTGCTTGGGCTGCCACGGGCCCCTCCGCAACCTTTCCACTGCGCCTCGGGATCCTTGCCCCCCTCTCATCTCTTTCTCAACTTTCTTTCTGCGTTTTTATCCTTTAGGAATCTACCCGTATATCACGTTTCATGGGATGCCAGAATATTTTTCGTCAAACCCTTCTCCCAAACAAGGAAACAACAGCTTTGAAGTCATACGAATGGTAATCGTAGGCACTTAAGAGCATTGTACTCATAACGTGCTCTACTGATCTGATCGGTAATAATGATGTATATTGCGATAATGTAACATGATAGTTAAAATTTGTCAATTATTTTATATTGATGTGTATTTTATTTCTATTTTCACTCGCAAATTCCTTATTTAACTCCATCGTGATGCTGTTAGAGTGAACTACGACTCCAACTGATTCATCGGCATTGTTATGAAAGCTGATTGAGAGGGTAACTACTATTGAGGGGGCTACTTCAGATGTTCGCTGGCTGTTAAACGACGAGACCAAACTAATGTTCATTCCAACCCAGCAGCGACATCAGTGCGAGCTGTAGAGTACGAAAGCTTACGTATACAGCTGTAGAGTACGCCGTGTAAACTCTCCGACGTCAAAAAAAATTCATGAAAGTGGGCGCACCCAACTCTCCGCGGCGCGGCGTCTGGTCGGCGCGGCGATGCGGAACCTCGTTCCTCCGCCACTTGGGGGCTCGAGCCCTCGGCCCAGGGGTCGTCGCTGGGTCGACGCGGCCTTCCGCCGCCCAGGGCGCCCGTCTCCCCGCCTCTCCCGGCACGACGCGCCGACGAGAGCGAACGCGCTCGAGAAATGGGCTGCGCGCTCACGTAACGCATTCCGCCCTCAAATCCACTTGGGCCGCGAGGGCGCGCGCGTGCGCGTGCGGGCGTTCAAACGGCGCGCGGAGGCGAAAGTGACACTAGAGGAGATGGACACAAATGATGGTGGGGGGTTGTGAGTACTGCACGCATCGGAGATTCAAGATTGCTGGTGTGTTCGGGATACTCTGAGTTTGTGAGATTCCACGCATTACTCTGTGGTTGACGCTGGTAACATATGGATGGATGTGAGTTTAATATATAAAAGAATTAGTTAGAGAAGATGTACGGCAAAATATTAGGCATGAACTTTGAAACCTTCGTTGTTTTCATTGTCTTACTATAAAAATGTCAATTTTTTGACTATTTTTTCACTGTAAGACCAATTTAAAATACACTATTCAATTTACAGTGAACATAAAAAGAGATCATCACCGTCTCATATGTGATGTGAGTAGTGAATGCTTGTTTACCAAGCTGTCGAATCCTGCGTTAATAATCTCCACTCAAAGAACAAAAAAATCGCCAATTTTCAGATCTCTCGCTGAGATTGCTGGAAAGGCACGACCCGCACTCTCAATTGAAAGCAAAGCTCTGCCGAACTGTGCTCTGAGATTTTGAGAAGTTCTTCATATGGTTCGTCTGAGAAGGATATATCTATGGGCGAGAAATAGGACATGATTTGTAAAGGATCTCATTTGACTAATGTAGAATTAGCACTAATTTGCCAATTAAAGAGAAATCTCGATTATTTTTATCTTGTCTATTTATGTGTCATCTGGTACCTTGTTACTGAAATCATAATCTGTTGGTAAAATGTAAAGTTAGTTCATGATGATATTCACTCAAAACCGTTACGTTTTGAAAGTAAATACAAAGTTCTAACATTTTATTTGCACTGAAATCTATAAAAAATTAAGATTGTGATGTAAACGTAAATAGAAAAATGATGATAAAAATTTAATGTGCAATCAAAATTCTCACAAAGGATCAAAATGAATTTGCATGTGCATAATAAAATAATGTAAAATCCTTCTATTTATACCAGGCAACGTAGGATATGAGCTGATGCATGTCCTCACGTGTTTCACGGAAACGTTTTTCTCAAGGCAAATTTCTAATCTCGACCACCGCTCTTCTTTATTCTCCCTCTGAATCTACACAGAAGCGATGCTGCCGGGGATGAACGACACATCGGCGAAAAAGGTGCTTTAAATCGCCTTCTGGAAAAATCCGTCGCGGAGCTTCCTGTGCGCGCAAGGGATTCGCGCCTCTGAGATCGCGCGCGAAAGTGCTTTTCTATCCCTCGACACAAAGCGCGGGAAACCGAATCAGCCGGAACGCTGGGGCTGCTGATGCGGGCATCGCCCTCGGCTTACACCGCCACTTCCCCCACCTACCCACCCCTCTCTCCTTCATCCCCCTCCCACAACGCTCTCATCCCTCTCGCCTCACCCCATCTAAACACAATTCGTGATGATCCGTCATCGCCCCCTTTCCTCCCTCCCCCTCTTTTCTCCTTCCCTCTCCTCCTCCTCCCCCTCCCAGCTCTGTCTCCACTACTTAAACACCCTCACCAAACATTCTCCTTTTCCTCATCACCCTCCCCAGCTATCTTCCACTGACAAAGGTGGCTCAGAGCATCAACTGATGTCACTCCTGTGCATCTGACCGGGAGGTCCGAAGGTTCGAGTCCCGAAGGCTGGACTTGCCAGTTATGTCCGTTTCAGTCACTATCTGGAGGAGAATTCTAGCGGCCGACTGCTCTTTTCGGCATTTGCCGTGGTTTCTCCGATTAACACCAGACGAATGCCGGAGCAGTATTCTAACAAATGGGCCACGGACTGCGCACGACCTTTCCTTCTTCTTCTTCTTTGTCCTATCCTCACCCCTTACTCGCACACACGTACCCTCTCTTGCATTTCACTACCACACGTGTCTGGAGACCAGTCAAGAGTTTAGAGCTTGTTTCAGCTGGGGCGGTACCTTTGCTGATGGGAGATACCTAGTTGGAGAAAATTCCTGCGAGCCGACGTAGGTCGGCGCCGGATCTCGCCATCCAGTGGGAACGATCACCACCACCGTTACCTCCTCCTCCTCCTCCTCCTGAACAATAGATGCACTATACTTACGGGAGTAATAACCGTAGCCGTTAACGCCCAACCTAACTACCTTCCCCTCCCCTCTCAATTGTTCCCCTTCCACTCCCTTCTACCCCTCTCTCCACCCTATCCCTCTCTTTT